CAGTGGGCGGGTCCGGGTCCCGAGTGCGAAGGGGCCCTGGGCGTCGGTCAAGGTGGGGCCGAGAAGGTCTGCACAGTGACGGAGAACAGCGGCCCCCGTGGGTTTCGGGAGCGCCCAGTGCTCCGGTCGCGGTTCTGAGCGCCTTAGCTGGAGTCGCAGGGCCTCCCCCGCTCCTCTGGTCTACCCCCGGTATCCCCAAGTTCACGTGTCAGCTTTCCCACCCGGACGCTTCTGCAGAATAGCCTCTTGCCCTGGTCTCCCGCCTCCAGCCTCCGCCCCACGCCCAAGTCACACCTCTCCATTAAAGCTCAGCATCTCCCAGCAGCCTCTCCAGGCACCCCGCGTGGACACCACCCCCCTCCCTTCTGTTTGCCGGATAAAATCTGTACCCCATGCTATTCAAAGCCCCCGCCCCTACACGCTGGCCACGCACACAGAGCCGTTGACCTATGCAGGCTTGTGATGAGGTCATCTTTCCCCCTCATATTGTCCGTTATTTTTAAAATTGATTTTGTCTCCTTTCTGCCATCTGGGTTAAAAAGACTCTCAAAAGATGGGGACAGCGTCTCTTTATTCTGACCCGAAACACACACGAAAACAACCACAGCATTCTGCATAGCGCTTAAGCCTGTGCAGCCAAAATGGAACCGTTAGAGGCCAAGCCAAGGACCCCAGGCAGGGTCCCAGCCTGCGCCACACCTCTGAGCCAGGCCCTGCCAGTTCTCGCTGTTGGGGGCTGACCGCCGATTCTAAACCTCAGGAAGTCCCTCCGCAGCCCGGGTGAAGTCAGAACACGGAACATAGTCACAGTCCTGCTCTATCAAGTCCCGCCCCCCCCCCCTGCTTCTCACCCCCTCTCACGGCAAAGGACGTCCCAACTCTGCTTATGTACCTTCTCCCCTTTCTGTTAGGCACACTCCTTTCCATTCCTTAAGGCCTGACTCCAAACGCACCTCGCCCCACCTCCCGGCTTTCCCGGACTCTCTTGAGCAGACCTGTCCCGGGAGCACTGTTAAAAATGCACTCATAAAGGGGGTCTATTTGTTACCGGGGCAACAACGCAAGGGTTGTAGTCAATGGCAAGGGCTCTGGACACAAGCCGCCTACATGCACAGTTAGATTCTCCCACTTGCTAGCTGTGCCCCCCTCACCCTGCCTTCACGCCTGAGGGTGAGAATGGAATGAGTCAATACGTAGATGCAAGGTGCCTGGCACGCAAGTACACTCACTACAGGTTAGCTCTCAGAA